ACACACACACGTGTGCCTTCATATATACTACACAGCTGCACACACAACCACATAAAGGCCTGCATATTACACTCACATACACACCTTCATATATACTACACAGCTACACACACAGGCCTGCGTATAACAAACACACACAAACACAGAGCCCACATATATACCACACAGCTGCACACAGGGCCGCCTATATATACACAGATACACACACACGCACCTGCATATGTACTACACAACTACACACATGCACACACACAGGCCCACATCTATACTACACACACAGGCCTATCTATATACCACACACACACACACACACCTGCATATGTATCGTCATCTCCCTGTTACACATGGTGAAACTGAGGCACAGAGTGGGGGAGGGGCTGTCCCAGGTCACATAGCCAGCGTGTACCTAGACTTGTGAGCCAACAGGCAAACACACGTGCCAGGGGGAGCACACCCCAAACACACTAGCAATCACACCCCTGCACACCTATCCACCCCACCTCCCAGAGCAGACACAAGCCCACGGCACCCGAGAGGCCTGGGATGGAGGGAGCAGGTGATGGGAAGTTTTGGCTCAGACAGGCCAGAACACCGGGCCCTGAGCTGTCACTGGGATGTCACCCGAGCACCCCCATTCCCTGAAAGAGAGCCCAGCCCCCACCCCAAGGAGAATCCAGCCGGCTGTTGGCCCCTCCCTTGGGTTTATCCAGAGGCCCCTGCAGCCGGGGAAGGCAGGAGAGGCCGGCGCCAGGGCCAAACTTGGTCCAGCTCTATTACGCCGCTGAGCACATTTGAGCTGACAGATGCTTATTAAATTCTTCCAGTTCCCTGCCCAAGGCATCCCCACACAAATTCCCTGCTGGCCTTCTCGTGGAACGCTCCCCGGCTGGGGGCAGACCGGGGTCGGGAGGAGGAGCAGAGAAGGGTAGGCACATGGAGATTTATAATGAGGTGCAGCAGCACATGTTTCTCAGGCACCCGAGGAGGGGTTATAAACAGGGGGTGCCATGCATATGCCCCATGTACCCAGGGGTGGTATAAAGAAGGGGTGCAGTGCTCATATATCTGAAGGGTGGTATAAAGAGGAGGTACAATGCATAAACCCCTGTGACAGCCTGCACCCCATGTTCACCCCTTTCATAGGACTATGATAAATATTGTACAAAGTATACCTTGTCATTTGAAAACTCATAATCCGCTGAACAGTATTGTTCTGGTAAAATGTGTGTATCGACACTGCAGGCAAAGTTATAAGATTCTACTGTATAACATTACTCTGACGTGCTCCAAGTTAAAGAAAAGCAGACCCAGACCAGTTTTTCAGAGACAAAGGCACATTGGCCCCCCGCTATTACCTACTCAAGCAGCCATTCTCCAGCGGGGTGGGGGAAGAGGTAAACAAGAAATTCACATTCAATCATAGGAACGGTTCAAACGTCACATCCACAACAGACTGCATGTCACCGTGACTCAGCCAGGATGTTTCTAGCACATGAAATTGAATTATAGAAAAGGGAGGAAAACACCTGACTTCATTCTTCTTCTTACCATCTCTCTGCTGATGCCATCAAGGACTATGCTGGGCAGAGTCCCGCCAGCGCCGACTGCTGTAAGCGTTGGGTGAGAAACCCTTTTGCTTTTAAGCTCATTTCACTTGCTAAGCTGAGACGTTAGATGGCATTGTTCCCTTTTTATTTTGCTTTGTAACCGATTCTGACTTTTAAGCCTCATGACTTGCAATCACTTAAAATCTTTCTTTCTCTAGCTAATCGATTCGTTTCACTGTTTTATCGAAACCAGCGTCTTTGGGGGACGATAACAAGATGTGGGCATATCGCTTTCCTTTGATGAAACGACGGACTTTGTGTGAGCTTGTTCTGCACAGCAAGCGGACCGGGCAGTGGAGAACGCACATTTCTCGGGGCAAGTCTGGGGCTGGGAAGCTGCTGGTGTTCTGCAGTGTAATGCATGAGTGGCTGGCTAATAGCACTCTGTACTGGTTAGCAGGGAGCGCGTCACATGCTGGAAGCTGTGTGGTCACGGGCCAGGAGTGGCTGCTCACCAAGCAGTTCGGAGAACCACTATTCGGCAGCCCAGATCGCACCCTGGGGAACGTCACACCCCCATATACCCGAGCGGGGGCCCTACCTGCCGGGGCAGGGGAGGCTCCTGGTAACTGGGCAGGATCTTGAGGACCACGCTGCCGGTGGCGTTCTTCAGCATCTCCTGCAGCACCTTGGGGTCGTTGCCCACCTCCTTGCCGTTCACCTCCTTGATGACGTCGCCCACGTGCAGCAAGCCCTGCTGGTCGATCATGCCGCCGTGCAGGATGCGGGCGACCACCAGCTCGCCCCGCTCCACCCGGAAGGTCACGCCCTGCGGGCGGAGGGGGGACACGCACCTCAGAGCCTGGCCCTGCGATGGCCAGGCCCCCGGGGAATCATGGGGAGCCCTGGAGCCTCAGCTGGGCCCATCGCTGCACCCCATTGCCCCATCGCCTCCCCGCGACACCCAGCCCAGCCCCCCAGCCAGCTGTGTCCGACGGGAGGGTGTGAAAGAGGGCGAGGGGAAGAGGGGAGTGAGGAAGAGGGAGGGGAGGAGGAGAAAACAGAAGAAGAGAGAGGGAGGGGAAGAGAGGGCTGAGCTAGACGGGGAGGGAGGGGGAGTGGGGTTGATGAGTGGAGGATAAGCCCATTCATCTGTTACCCCATAGCCAGACAAGGCTGGGGGCAGAAGGGGGCTGGCCCCCCAGGCCCTGGGGTAGGCAAGGACTCTGTGTGACGGTGGAGCCTCTGGGAAGGGACCTTCCATTCCCACACACCCCTATCCTCACATCTCCTCCCCT